TCGGAATTCTTTTTGTAATCGATGAACCTCTCGTGGTTTTTGGCGGGTGACTGCGCTGGTCCGTGGAGCGTCCTCAGAATTCTTTTGGGAATCGACCACCACCGCTCACATACACCAGGACACCTACACGATGCCCCGAGCAGAGGCGAGGTTCAGCACCTAATTGCCGCCGGCTGCTCGAGGTTGACTTTGCCGTGGGAGGAAATCCTTAAGCGTATCCTCTGATTCCGAATGACAGACGCTGTGGATTTTGCCCTGTGAAAAGTTTGGCCCGACTTTGCTAAGCATTCGGAACACTCGGGAATACCCGGAACACTCGGGAATGCATGCTGAGCATTCACGGGCACTTAGGAACACTCAGGAACACTCGGAAATGCATGCTAAGCACTAGGGAACACTCGGGAACACTCGACGCATGCAGCCACAGAACCTCCCTGCCAGCTTCGGTGAGTTGTGCTTGAAGCACTGCACTAATGATTCGCGTTTCTGCCGCTTCAAGCAGGAAGTATATGGAGTTCCTGTCATTGCAGCGCCGATCAGATTGAAACCAGGCTGTGCCGCGTTCGCTCAACAGCCTCAAACGCCGACCACTTACACCACAGCACCTACACCGCACCAGTACACCACGGCGCCTACACTGCCTACATAATTACAGCACTGCACCTACACCGCTCGCATGCCCCACAGCAACTACACCGCAGCAGTACACTGGAGCCTACAGCGCCCACCACAACACCTACACCGCTCACATACACCATGACACCTACACCACCCAACAATTACACCGCACCAGTGCAATGCGGCGCCTACACCGCCCACATACAGCGCGGCGCCTATAACGCCAGGACACCTACACCGCCCACATACACCACGGCACCTACACCGCACCCACGACCGCAGCACCTAGAACACGGCCATATACGCGTCCCTTGCTAACGTCGATCTGATTGCTTTCGGGATAATCGGTGTCTAGTTTTGGCTGAGTTTGCTCGCCCCTGCAAGGCTTCCTTCCCTCGTTTCCTCGACACCTCATTGTTCCACCCTTTCTCCTCATGTGTCAGCCAGAAAATTTCCCACGGACCTTTCACACCTGCGCAGATCAGCTGCCAATCTGACCCCTCATGATAGCCATCAAATTGCTCCATCATAAAGGGAGGCATCTTTGGCATAGCAGGAAACACGCTGACAGAAACACACGACGAGCCGAGGTCGCATCGTAGAGGCCCACGAGGTAAACAGCAGCCAGAGAAGGTCCAGAAGTCGCTCCTTGCACGCAGGCGACATCACGAGCGCGGTTCTCAGCGGCATGGACACGCTCAAGTACTAACCTGTCTGTTAACGGCAGTCCGTGCGAACGCCCTGGTACCCTTCAATCGACATGCTGAAGCACACGGCAAGGATAATGCTCCCCATGAGGACATGGGTTTGCACCTCAGCATGACATGAAGAAGCCACTTGCTTATTGTGTCGTCCACTCATTGTTCCCAACTGCGTGCCAAATGAGGGATTCAGCACCACACGCTCTCCATCCTCAGGAGTTGAGAATTGCGTCTCGAGCTTGTTTTTGAGTCGTGCTGGATGCATGCAAACAAGTTACATGCACTTGTTGACATCACGAATATCTTCACGGATTTGCAAAGATCTCTCATAGCGAACCTGGAAAGCGCGGGTCACTTTTATCGACTGTTTCCGACGTAGACTCCCAGCCTCTTGGCGGAAAAGGTCCTGGCTGCGTTTCAGACGCACATGCCAAGAGCAAGATTTACAATGGCGAAACAAACTCTGCCAGCAGCTAGCACCTGTGCTACTTTTGCTTGATGGGCATCACCACTGACTGCGACCTCCCACATCCGCAGCGCATGACTTGACACACTGGCCCCCTACCACAAGCTAAGAGCAATGTCTGCAAAGGATGCTAAGCTGGACACGAAGGACCTCAACTCTCAGGAACAAATTCTCGGCTCTGCAATGGTGACTCCGGCAACGGCGGTCTGCAGAAGATATGTTCAAAGTCCCGAACGATAGGAAGTCATTGCCCAGGACGACCGCCTGGTTTATTGAGATACTGGGCAAATGTACTTTCAGCATCTTGTGACTCAACAACTGCACTGCGGTATCAAACAATCGCTGGCGCACATCTTGACTCCGTGCTAGCAAGAGGCCTTGCAACATCACAAGCAATTTGCAGAGATGCTCTCAAGAACAGTGCAAGCCTGAGGCCGCGGCCGGCTAAACTTGACAGAAAGCAGTCCATTACTCTATGTGCTCTGCAACATTTCTGCTTATGATTGGGACTGTACTCATATCACTTCTGTTTGGACTTGGCGCATGCCGACTGCCAACGCAATGCAGCCCAGCCATTGCTAACACATCCTGACACTTGATGAAGATGATGTTAAAGCTTTGGCCAAAAAAAAAGATCAACCAAAAGTCTACTAGCCCACTTTGTGTGGTGCACAATCTGCTGCGGCGGTGCAGGCACCTGGCAGAAAGTCGTGCTTCACTGTGTCCACACCTCTAGAGCCAGCGCAGACAATCTGCAGCTAGGGCGCCGCCGCAGCAGCCCATGCTGCTTATGCAGCGAAACGTGCCATTCCGAATTGAGCCTGACAGCAGCCTGTCCAAAAACTCGGCCCTGTGGCTATCGCTCTACTGCCCACCTTCATCAAATGAATAGGAGAAACTCTAGGTGCAACAAACATCGCTTTTCACAACCATAGCCGCACGACACATCAACCTCTGCGAGCTGACCCATTTACAGCTGGCGCACTTTTTGAAGGCCACACGCCTGCAGAGTCTGGCCTGGTCGAATTGAAGGCAGGCGCCGGAAGAAAAATCAGAATCAGCCAGCCATTGCCACGCATCTCCGGAGCGCATGGAAAACGTCCAAGAGCCGGTCTAGGAAGGCAAAACCCACAAAAATCCGGACCTTTCTTCGGGCGCCGCCTTCACCTACGATGAGCTCAACCCTCTGCACTCCTGCACTGTTGCAAGTAAACGGCAAGGAACAATTCTCAAAAAAGATTTCTCTTTGCGGCTTTTCAAGGCATTTGAACTCTTATGACAGATGCGAAGCAGAAAAAAGCCTGAATCGTCACAAGATTGATGAACATATGGCGTTTTGAGGCGTTGCTTGTTCCGAGTCCCAGAATCGGGAACCAGCTCAACAACTTGTATTCGATTGCTGTGGTGCATTTTGAGGGAGCACTTTCGTCTGCAACTCGGAAAGCAGGCATGCAAATTCATTTGCCAACTCACTCCATGCAGTACTGAATTCTGCTGGCTGTCGCAACTCAACTGCTACGTGAGGGTGAAGGAGTTGCACATCCAAAGAAGGCTGTGTCAGGCAGCTATGTTGCACCACAAGTTTGAAGGGCGGCAGCCAACACAGCTGTCAAAAAACTACAGGCATTTAACATGAAAGAGCCCCTGACTAGTCAAGTATGTGCTGGCCCGCATCTACGCGAAGTCCTGCAACGCAGACATTGAAAGGACCACCACGTCAGTGATGATGCATGTGAGCTATAGTCTAAACTCCTTAAAGGGGGATTACATAGAGGGTTAGAAAGGGGACTGCTTAGGGTCTATTCAGGGAGATACTAGGAGTTTAGACTATAGCTCATGTGCACCTTGCACCTGTCTTTACTGTACTGTAGGCATGCGCATGGCTGAGCGAAACAAACTTCAGATGATTTCAGATGACAGTGCAGGCAAGCCGCGCTTTGCCAGCCAAAACACAATCACTCTACCGACAAGCAAGGTAGATCAAGCATCATCCTGTCAAACTGCAACACGATCCGCTCTCAAGTCGGGGAACAGGGGACCAGGAACCCTGGCTTCATCTATGCACCACTTCTTTCTGACACGTTCTTACCCAGTGACAAGCTGCCACCACTCCTCGATTATCCTCGTGGCCAGTGGCCTGAGCCACTAGGCTGAAGCCATACAGTAAAGTCCTGACCGCCAGCTTTGCCTAGGATGTCAGAATGTTATCTGCAAATATCAAACTTCCACCAGTTGAGGTTGGGGCAGGGCAGGAGACATTGGCGGACCTGGCTGCTTTTCCACTTCAACGCATCAAACCCTTACAGTGCCTTACAGGCCCTTACACCAACCTGAGGTTCGAGCCACCCTGAGCTGGCCTGAGAACGTGCTGGGCCTCTGCTCACATCAAGCAATGCAGACATGCGCACGATGGATGGCTGCTACGCATGCAGGGGGGGGTACCGACTTTTCAACGCAGCTACTGCTGCCAGGCGAAGGCGGACTCCGGCAAGATGTTAATCCCAGTGCCGGACCCTAATTGCGGGGTGAACCTGCGGCTGCATGTACCCCTTCAATCCTGCACAGGCAAGTTTCTCAATGTCTCCAAGTTCTGTTGATAGCGTGCTTTCTCCTGTGCCCTGCGCACTCAGGGCATATGCTGGCGTAGACTGTACCTGCATGTTGTCAGCTGGATGGGCGGGCATAATTAAAGGACGCAAATCATCGAGGTCGACCTGCGTGAATGGCGTCGATGCTGGCACCTGGCGGTCATGGAGTAATCTTTATCCGTTTCCTCTTCACCTGATACTAAGCATGCAGGCCCTGAGTTTCAGACGATCATTGGATATAGGGGCTTGCGAGGGGAGGCTGGAGATGCATTGATGACGCTCCGCGCCTTGGCTATAATTGCCAACTGGGTTCAGGTACGTGTAAATGCAGCGCACTGCAATTTCCGCAGCCTTTGTTTGCGCATCAGAAGATGCACCCTGTCACTGATGCAGCTGCATTGCTCTGCAGCTGAGAGAAGGCGCTACACGGCATCTTTGCAAGATCCGCGGCCCTTTCAAATTGTGGGCGTGCCGACATTACAATAAAGCTGGCTGCCAAGCACTGCTGTTGCCCACTGCTGGGCCCCCAGAAGTTACGGGCATGCTCAGCAAAAGGTGTGGCAACGTGCATCTTCCCTGCCTCACTTTGCCCACTTAGAGGACGCACAGCTGCCCATGATCGCGATGTTACCAGCCATATTTCGCGTGTGTCTGTGCCTGGCAGGGCAGCTTTCAAAGCACAACGCTGTGTCCAACAATACGCGTTAAACTTACAAGATTAGGTACCCCGATTTGTTTGAGGACGTGGTTCCCCCTTATGAAGAGCATTTCCTTTTTACAGAACCAGCCTTGGACAGAATCCTTTGCTGACCACGCTCCAGCATGTCAGCTTCGTTTTCCAGGGCTTCATTTGCAAGCCTTGAAATTCAAGGGAAGGCAATTCAAAGACTGTTGGTAACTACATGAATCACTCACTGCGCGGAAAAGGGGCCAATTGATCTGGTGCTTGCGCTTCTGGACTTTGCTGGGATTCGAATGTGTGGTCTCACGCCAGCCCCTGCCATCAAACCTCCCATGCAACATTTTCAGACTGCCCGGCTACCGCATACAAACACCTATCTCTGTTAGGAGCAGTTGCAACCCCTGGCGCACATGGAGACATCGTCTGCCACCCGTTTCTTCGTCAGAAGCCCTGGACCACCAGCCATCTGGTTCTTCATGTACCAGTCGGGGTCCTTGCAAATCAAGCCAGAAGCTAAGTTCATAGTGCATGTGGCACCGGCTTCATGGTATTCTGTGCGCTTTGTGCCATGTCTGGGGAGCTCTTGCGTCATCAAACAATGAGGTCTTGAATAACAGCTCGGGATGTGCAGAACAAGGTGCCTTCATGTCATCTGCGTTGACCTCGACAAATTGTCGTGGCTTCCTCCTGCGATGTATCAGCTCAACATCGAGTGTTAGACTTCCGGCCCGTCACAGCAAGCAGACATCATCAAGTGCATCAAAGATGCAATTCTAAAAGGTCATCTGCAGATGGACCATCTGGCTGTGCCCTGACACTATTTTTGTCTCTATCAACGTGCTTCTGAGGTGGCTGCACAGCCGCAAAACAAGATTGCATCCAGGCAGCGTGTCAACTGAGAACATGGGATGGTTGAGGACATTGTCTGGCACTTGCGCTGCCTGCAATCAAAACACGACCCAGCTCTGTAACAGGGCCTCACTTTATGCGACCTCCTCGTCCAAGTCCGTGAAGTTGTCTGGTCGCAGGAGGCCCTCCACCGGTACCGTGCTTTTGTTCCTGCCAAAAAAATGCGCTTGTTTCTTTTTTTTTTCGTGAGCTTCTTGAACTAAGCTCATGCTCCAGCTCACGCTCCTGTCCTGGCCGGTCTCACCTCAGCTCTCCAAACGTCATGAAACTCATGCGCTTCCGATGCAAAGTGTTACACGGGCTTTGGATACGGCTTCACACTGCGCACCCTCTGCACACTTCCACAAAGATCCGCCACGCGTCATCTTCCAAGTCAAGCCGAATTGAGCTTGACCCTGTTTCCCTTCCCAATGTCACCTGCGCGGATCAGATGCTAAGCCTGCTAAGCTCTATCATCTGGACACCACCGGGCAGCCTTAGGGGGAGGCAAGGCTGCCAGCAGACTCTGGCCAACTGGATTGGCAGCTAGCTCCGCTGCCTGCTTGCAAACACTCCGCCAAGTCAAGCCGTGGGCAAAGGCATAGTGTTCAAAATAGATGTGCCTTCTTCAAAGGAGCCTCGTCTGGCTCGGTTGGTGGTGGCGTCTCGAAACTTGGCCGCCTGCATCGCAACATCTCAAACTGTCACGTGACTGCGCTTGAGCTGGGCGCATTATCGAACCAGACTTGTCTGTGCAACTTCCGAAGCAGCTGAACTTCAAAACCGAGTGCTGTAGTGTGAGACGATGAGATGAGAGAGAGGTGTACGCCTTGCGAATAGCAGCAGTTGCGTCAGCAGTAGTCACAAGTTGCTGCAGCTATTGTAACAATTGCAGCCATGAGTGGGTAAATTTGCAAGTCGGGTGAGCAATTGACTGCGTGAATAAGTGAGGGTGGGAGTGGGCAAGGAGGCAGTGTCAGGCATGTGCATGTCACAGCTTTAGCACCATTCTGGGGAACAAGTCTGCATACAATACATATATGCAAGGACACATGAGCCATGGTTTTTATTCCTATATAATTTCACTACCATATCAATGCCCTTCCGCGGCGGCCTTCCGCGCCTTCCGCGGCTCCTTCCGCGAAGTGTTTTCGGTAGAGTTTCGGGACCTTGCTTCCGCGAATCTTCCGCGAAAGGGCCCCGAAGACTACCGCCCAGGCTCGCGCGTACGCCGTTTTCGGTTGACTTCGTTTGATTGGTTAAGGTA